GGCTCTGGCGGGGAGGCCTGAGGCGCTCCCCTCCCTGGCCACCCTCCGCAGAGGTAGCACTAGGATCTGTGTCTCTGGCCCTCAGGCTGGGGGCTGCTGCGGCCCCAGGGAACTCCTGGGACAGTCCTCTGCGGGTGCTGGGAGACGTGGGGGGGGGGGCAGGACCACTGGGAGCAGCCAGCTCCTCCACTGGTGGACTGGCCCTCGCAGGTCCCCCCAGGGCCCGCATGTCCTCCGCTGAGTGCGGGCGGGCTGACAGCTGGCCTGGAGCCAGCCAGCCGCATGCTCAGACTCCTCAGATCCCGGGGGGCCATCCTCCCCCGGGCCAAGGGGGCTCTGCTGGCCTCTCCGTGGGCTGCCCGGCGAGGGGCTCTGGGACGGGGAGGGGGGAGGCCAAGGGCCTGTGCTCGCGGCCTGGAGGGGGAAGGCAGAGGACCGGCCTGCCACCGGCTCTCCTGGTACCACAGGGGCTTCTGGCTCTCGGGACGAAGGAGGAGGCCTGTGGCTGGGAGACCCCTGACCGCTTCTCAGGATTGCCACCGGGGAGCTGAACCTTCCGCTTGTGGCCAACAGGGGCCACGTCCAGGCCAGAGAATTCCGCAGAACCAGAGCGTGTCCGGAGGTACTGGTGTACAGGGCTCTCGGACCCTGGCGTCCCTGGGGGGGCTGCAATGACATCCGTTGAGCCCCCCAGCTCCTGGCAGTTTGCTCCTGGTCCCAGCATCCGGCCAGCCCCCACGGGTTCGGCAGGGGGCTTCACGCTGCCCTCCAAGCCAGCTTGCTCTGGGGCGCCCGGGGCCGGGAGCTCGTCTTCCTGTCTCATCCCCGGACACGCGGCCTGGGGTTGGGAGGGCTGGCCGGGCGGCAGAGTCTCAGGCCACAGAGGGTCACCATCTGAAGACGGGGAGCCCGGCTGCCTGTGGAGACAGACACCGCCAGTGGGCCTCAGGGCTCAACTCCAGAGCAGGAGGCAAGTTGGGGTCTTCCCGGGCCGGGGCTGGGGGCGGGCGGGGGTGCGGCCCGCACAGTGCTGCCCTCGCAGGTTTGGTGTGCTGAAGCGAGTGGCCCACTTTGGGGCTCGGCGGAAGGGCCGTTCTCGGGCTGCCCCTGCAGCGGTGGCCAGTGCTATCCGCCTCTCTTGGCTCTGTGGCCTGTGGTCAGGGCTGGCCGGAGGAACAGGTTAGAGGCTGTTCCATTTAATAACTTTGCAGCGGAGGCTGTGCCCTTTGGCGGCCAGAGAATGCAGCACCAAGCCTGGCTCTCCAAGCTGAGCCCAGGGAGCTAAGAGTTGGCTTGAGAGGGGAAGCCACAGCTCCGTGGTGGGCAGCAGGGGAAGCTGGGCTCAGAGGAACCTGCGATTCTAGAGCACCCCTGCAGTCCTCTCTGGGGGTAACTTCTAGAAAGGCAGAGAGATCTTGCTCTTTACCCGTCTGAGAGGGGCCCAGGAACCCCCCTCTCTACTTCCAGAAGGCCACACAGGCACACCACCAGGGACATGCCAGGAGCAGCAACTGCTCAACTGTGCTCCCCACCCCCACAAACCATGGAAGCAGCCGCGTGCTGGTGGGGGCCCAGTCCCTGTCAGCTGGAGCCACAAATGGAGGGCTCCCAACCCCCACCAAACCCTAAGAGAACCAGGACAGAAGCTGGTGGGAAAGAGAAAAGTGCCATAGCCTGGTCCCCGCTGTCACCAGCCTGGGGGCTCCTTCCCACCGAGCGTGGGCGGCAGCAGGAGGGCGAGGGTGGGCGGGGCGCTCACCTGGGGAGGCCGGCCCGGGAGCGGGCGTCGGCAAAGCTGTGGCCGAGCTGGGCAATGACCCGATCGACTTCTGCGTACGGGTGGGCTTCTAGGGCGAAGCCCCGGTGCCGGGTGCTCTGGAGATGCTGCCCGGGGTGAGAGGGGCACAGGGCATTAGACAAGAGCAGGGTGGGATGCGGGCGGGGTGGAGGCCGGGGGCAAGGGTGCCATCAGAGCAGCCCGGGAGAAGCTGCTCGGCAGGGAGGGCTCACCGCGTGGAGCTCCTCAAAGGCCTCCTGGCAGCACTCACAGAAGCCCTTCCTCCTCCTGGGCAGGGTGCGGGCGGCCGATCGCAGGCTCGGCTCGCGGTCCTTGGGTTCTCTGGGGAAAGCGCGGGGTAGGGGGGGGGAAGCGATCAGGGCTGGGCCCTCAGCGGGGTGGACCACGACAGCTGGGCGGGCATGCGCAGGCCTACCCCCACTTGGGTGGCAGGAGAGGCAACAAGGAAGGTGAGAGCTCCCAGCGGGCACCCCGTCCCGTCCCTGCCCCCACAGGGCAAAGCACAGGTGAGGCCCGGTGCCGGTGCCAGCAGGAACGCCTCCCAGGACAGCTGCAGCTCAAGCTCACACCCAAACCCACGTCCCTCTGCCCTGCACGAGGATAGGGGCAAGGCCTCGGTGGCAGCGAGGGGTCTGTGCTGCTCCTGCCCTCCCCTCCTGACGGTCGCCTTCCCCAGGCTCAGGCAGTCTCCTCCCTCTCGCCGGCTTGCCCCCGGCACAGCTGCCACCTTCACCAAGGACTTGCCAGTCTCCTTCTCAAACCTGACTTCTTGTCTTAATTTCAGGCCCATATTTTTAGCGGCTGCTTGGCTGTCTGAGCAAACTCAACAAAGTCCAAAATAGTCCCCTTTGAGGACTTTTCTGAGCATGATGCAAAATCCAGAAAAAAGCTGATAAATTCAACTACATGCAATCTAAGAAAACGTATGCATGGCAGAAAATGTAAACAACAGACAAGTCACAGATGGGGGTGGGGCTATTTATAACTAATAACACAAAGAGAGGGCTCATTCCCGAATATGTGGAGGGCTCCACAAATCAATAAGAAAAGCAAACAGTGGGGCGCCTGGGTGGCTCAGTCGTTAAGCATCTGCCTTCAGCTCAGGTCATGATCCCAGGGTCCTGGGATCGAGCCCGCATCAGGCTCCCTGCTCTGCGGGAAGCCTGCTTCTCCCTCCCCCACTCCCCCTGCTTGTGTTCCCTCTCTCGCTGTGTCTCCTCTCTGTCAAATAAATAAATAAAATCTTAAAAAAAAAAAAAGAAAAGAAAAGCAAACAGTGACTGAAAAGAAAAACGGACGATGGACATAAAGAAGGTTCACACAGAAAGAGATTCAAATGATCAAACATACGAATGTACTTAACCTCATTCATAATGAGAAAAAATGACAATGCAAATCACACCAAGAGACAGTTTTTAACCTAGCAGGCTGGCAGAGGTTGGCATGCGGGACAGCCCAGGTTGGGGGGGGCAGCCGGGCACGGGCCAGGGTGCGTGAGTGCACACGGACATCACCCCCATGAGAAGCAATGTGGCCATATTTATCAACATTATAAATGCAGGAACCCTTTGACCCAGCACCTCCGCTTTTAGGAATTTATTCCACAAATTTACTGAGTGAGACTATTCACTGCAGCATTACTTGTAACAGCAAAAGCCTGGAAACAATCTAAGTACCCATCAAGAAGAGACTAGTTAAAGAAAATACAGTAAGACCATATGATGGGGGCGCCTGGGTGGCTCAGTCGTTAAGTGTCTGCCTTTGGCTCAGGTCATGATCCCAGGGTCCTGGGATCGAGCCCCACATCGGGCTCCTTGCTCCGCAGGAAGCCTGCTTCTCCCTCTCCCACTCCCCCTGCCTGTGTTCCCTCTCTCACTGTGTCTCTCTTTGTCAAATAAATAAAATCTTAAAAACAAAAAACAAAACAAAACAAAAAACCACCATATGATGGAAGACCCTGAGTCCATAAAAGGAATGAGGATGCTTTCTAGGGACTAATAGGAAATTAATCTAGGATACATTAAGTGGAAAAGGCTAGATCCAGCTCAGCCAATGTTATCATACTCTTTACAGAAGAGGAGTGAAGGATACATGATGTACTTCTGTCCACACACACAAACTATCTCTGGACAGACCCACAATCTGGAGATTGGTGGGTAAGTGTGGAATATAGACTTTCACTTTATTTTTTTTTAAAAAGATTTTATTTATTCATTTAAAACAGAGAAAGAAAGAGCGAGCGAGCATGAGCAGGAGAAGCAGCAGAGGGAGAGGGAGAAGCAGACTTGCTGTGGAGCAGGGGGCCCGACATGGGGCTTGATCCCAGGACCCAGAGATCATGACTTGAGCCAAAGGCAGATGCTTAACCATCTGAGCCACCCAGGTACCCCCAGACTTTTCACTTTAAACCCTCTGTAACTCTTGGGACACCTGAGTGGCTCAGTGGGTCGAGTGTCTGCCTTTGGCTGAGGTCATGATCCCAGGGTCCTGCGATCGAGCCCCGCATTGGGCTCCTTGCTCGGCGGGGAGCCAGCTTCTCCCTCTGCCTGCAGCTCCCCCTGCTTGTGCTCTCTGACAAATAAATAAATAAAAATCTAAAAAAAACAAAACAAAACAAAAAACCCCCCAAAACCCCCCTCTGTAACTCTTTAATTTGGAACCAAAATATAATAATTTTTATTTTTTTTAAAGATTTTATTTATTTATTTGAGAGAGAGAGAATGAGAGATAGAGAGCACAAGAGGGAAGAGGGTCCGAGGGAGAAGCAGACTCCCCGCCGAGCAGGGAGCCCGATGTGGGACTCGATCCCGGGACTCCAGGATCATGACCTGAGCCG